TAAGTTAATTAGAATTTCACGTTTAAGATTCAAGAATGCATTTAATCATTCACGTTCATGTATTATTATTAACGTCCAATTTTACTTAATTGGAATTAAATATCACATCAAATGATAATCATTTTTTGGACAATTTTTCTATTATAATTTAATTATTTTAACAATAACTTACTTTTTGTTTTTCAACATGTATTTAATCTATTTAACCATTTCGTTATCATCAATGTACGTGTATATTTGACCGATTCATTTTACCTATGTGCTTTCATTCATGTACGAATGGCCTATTATTAATTCTCAATTAATTAAAATTCACCCATTTAATTAATATTCAGTTTCATTTATGCATTTCGATGTTATTAATTATAATTATTTTATAATTATAATTTATCTCGCCCATGTGCTTTGATTAGTGTAAGAATTTCCCATTAATAATTATCATTTACTCATTTAATTAATATTCACTTTCATTTATGCATCTCGATGTTATTAATTATAATTATAAGTTAATTAAAGTTCATTTTCAATTGTATATTTTCATTGATGTATGAATTGCCCATTATTAATTATCAATTAATTAACAAACGCATTCATTTAATTGATATTCATGTTTATTTATGTATTTCAGTGTTATTAATTCTAATTACAAGTCAATTAGACTTTCATATTTAATAATTCATTTAATTATTCACATTCATGTATACTAACTAACATCCAATTTTACTACTTGGAATTAAATATCACTTCAAATTAGAATCATTTTTGGACGATTTTAGTCCTACTATAATTCAATTATTTTATTAATACATTACTTTTTATTTTTCAACATGTACTTAATCTATTTAACCGTTTTGTCATCGTCGATGTACACGTATATTTAAGTGATTTATTTTACCTGTGTGCTTTTATTAATGTACGAATTACCTATTATTAATTTTCAATTAATTAACATTCACTCATCTAATTAATATTCATTTTCATTTATGCATTTTGGAGTTATTAATTATAATTATAAGATAATTAGAGTTTCAAATTTAAGAATGTATTTAATTATTCACGTCCATGTATACTAACTAATATCCAATTTTACTAATTAGAATTAAATATCACTTCAAATTAGAATCATTTTTTGGACGATTTTAGTTCTATTGTAATACAATTATTTTATTAATACATTACTTTTCATTTTTCAACATGTATTTAATCTATTTAACCGTTTCGTTATCATCAATGTACATATATATTTGACTGTTTTGTTTTACGTGTATGCTTTCATTAATGTACGAATTACCTATTATTAATTTCCAATTAATTAACATTCACTAATTTAATTAATATTCATTTCCATTTATGCATTTCGTTGTTATTAATTATATTTATAATTTATCTCACCCGTGTGCTTTGATTAGTATATGAATTACCCATTATTAATTATCATTTACTCATTTAATTAATATTCACTTTCATTTATGCATCCCAGTGTAATTAATTATAATTATAAGTTAATTAAAGTTTATTTTCACTTGTACGCTTTCATTGATGTATGAATTACCCATTATTAATTAACGATTACAGTTGAACCTCGATTATATAATAATTTCTTTTGATCCCGACTTGGGCCAATGGACTAAAGTAATAACCTCGCTAAATACATTAAGTAATAAAAAAAAATTGAATCCTTAAGGGCCCAATAAAAATATAAAGTAATAATTACTGGATTTCATTGAATATATATATATATATATATATATATATATATATA